CGTTTCGGAGATCCGAACACATTGCCCTTTCTTCATACTTTCCTAGCCTTTATGTGGCATATGAGCAAATTCCCTGCTGCCATGGCTCATATCGAGCGAGAGTTCCCATGGCAACTTACTGCAACAATGCTCAACCATACCTTCCAGTCCTGTGGATTCGAGGCACGAATGGAGAGCGAGGAGTTTCCGGGTGCTCTCAAGAATGACACTCCTCGTCCTCTGCCGGAGGATTTTGCGATGAGGAGCTTGGTCTATACGGAGGACTACCTACCATCGCAGTGGTTTAAAGATAGCAAGGTGGAGGAAGACGAGAAACAATTCGAGCTGGCTTCAATGGTCGACCAGCGAAAAGAGAGACTCCTTTGGCTGGGACGTAAGATCGCATCTACTGGAAGGTGGCTCACATGGAATGAACCTACACGACGATTCAGGGTAGCAGAGGAGTGGGTTGATCTAGAGGATACTGCAAGTACTTCCTCGGCGTTTGGCGAACATAATACACACAGTTAATCGTTTCTCCCTTGTTTGGTTTCAGTAGTTCTTGTCACCCAAAAATATGATTTAATGCCTTTGTTCTTCCTGAGCATGTTAGATGCCCCTGGATATCTCCTGCTTGCTGGTTAAGCTGTTTCACAGATGCCGATTTTCCTAGCACACTAGACTAGAAATATAGCCTTACCTCTTCATCCTTTACAACTGCTAGCCTGGGCTAGGCTCGGTTTTCCAAAAGTTGAAGCTCTCACCACATACTTGTAGGTGCCTCTTCCTTGTTTAGTCAGGTGCAAAGGCTAGCTTAGCCTCACCGGTCTCGCCGACCGCCTGTACATCATCTTCGCCAGTATAGCTGCGTGTCGATTCATATCTATATAACCCTGGATACCTACTTAGCTGAAATAAAGGCACCTGTATCCGGCTATAAGAGCGCTGCTATGCACATGTGTGTCATCGAAAAGGTTCATCCCTAGTGAAACCGAATGCATGATGCCATGAGGGGAAAAAACTTCCCACAAAGCCCTACTAAAGTAATATACATATTTTTGCCCATAGTCGCCGTAACATAAAACCTACCATCTCCGTAGCAAAGTGCTTCACTAAGAAGGTTATCTGAGTAGAGGCATATTGACCCCTCTCTAATGAATCAGGGTTGAATATGTTATCCTACGGCCTGCTGGAGTGCTGAACTGGTGGTAACAAATCCGTAGTTTCTCTATTTTCGTTCGTTAAGCGCGATGATGAATAGTATGCGGGATGTAATATCTACGCACCCATATGTCTAAGATGGAAACGTCTTGCCCTCCCGGGGTATTTGTTGCGCAGCTATCTTCGATTAAGATGCAGTCATAACCTCTGTAGTATGCGTCCAGCAGGGTGCCAAGAACACATTGGTTGGTGTTCACGCCGGCAAAGAGAAGTGTTCGAATTTTTTTTTGCTTGAGGATCTGGGCAAGCGGCGTATCATCTTTCGATAGACCCGAGACTCGATTTTTATTTATAAACAAATCCTCTTTTGGCCTGGCAACTTCGTGCAATAGCTCATATAGTTGAGAATTCCACTCATTTTGCATGAGAACTCTTCCCTTACCATCTCCAAGGTCGTCGCCGAAGCCGTAGCGTTTATCGTATGGGGAGGAGAGGGGATTGGTAAAGCCTTGTTGAAAACTATGGATTTGAGCTGCAGGTACCTTATCCAGATCTTCGTCGGCCAGGCCCCAATTGAGCCAAATGACCTAATTGGAGTGTTAGTCAATGGTATTACATTATATTTCGTTCCTTGCTGACCTTAATACCCAATTCTCTGCATACATTGATGACCCGAACGGTTTTCTGGGCTGCAATAATACCGCTGGGGTGGTCATTGCAATCCGGATGGAGAAAGAAATTTTGCATATCAATGACGACGAGTGTAGTAAGCTCTGGCGCGATAACTACCGTAACGTTCTGAGGACCCCTAGACGTAGAGAAGGACACTGGATCGCTTCGTGTATTGCCCCGTGTCAGGTCGTACATATTCATCTTTGGGGAGTAAAACCATGGTTCCTTTGAGGGCCCTATGGGAATGATCCCAGGTTCGGCATTCAGGTGTATTGTCTTTATGTCAAAAGTTGGCCACTGGAAGGACTTCCACGAGAACCTTTCGACGACGGCCAAGAAAAAGAGTATAAAAGCTATCGCAGCCATTGCACGGAGCACGATTAGCGGACGTTTCGCCATTTGGAGGCTCGACATCCTGGCGCTTTTAGCTTATGGAACCGCTTGACTTCATAGAAAATAACATGCAAATATTTGTTGATGGCGGATGCGCGGCGCCTCCAGGCAGGTAAAGTGAGCATGTCGCCGCACCTCTGTTTGCCTAATCACGTGACTCTCTCTCGACAGCCCTACCCATCACTGTTCTGCTTCTTAGGTAGTAGCTATCCTCCCCGTGGCTTGCATCTGTCTATTCATCTCCCTTAAGTTCCATGACACGTGGCCATGAGTTAGTGTTGGCCGTCTTGATTGGAGGATTGATTATACTAGAAAAGATAGTTACAACAATCAAGTTGCCACTGAAATTATACTGGAAGGGGAGGAGAACGACGCCCGTCCTTAATCCTCGGCCCGACTGGCCATGCCACCAAGGCGAATTATGACAAGACTCGGCTACCAAAGTCCTCCAGGTAGCCTTTGAGTAATGCCAAGGCATCTTTGGCCTGTCAAAGATGGCTAATGTTTGCCCAATCGCTTCAAGTAAATGCAGCCGTCGCGACGCTAACTTGGAGGGGAAGACGATTCGTCAGCTGGGCAGGTGGTCTCACATAACATCATGGCCAATCATTGGCACGTACCTAAATGATGACGTCCAGTGAGTTTCTGATCAGGGTGGGGATGTCTAGGTTCCCTTGAGTACGAAAGATTCAAGTTTTCGGTGTTGGTATTTGTTGCCTTCTGCAATGTAGCCCCGGGGGAATACGAGTTAGCTGTTGTGGTAGGGGATGCATTTATACTCTCTTTGATCCAAGGCGGTGGGGTATTCCTCTCACTGGTCAACAAGTCAGAAATTGTTAGAGGGATACGGACCTAGGAAAGCTGGCACCGCATTTCCAATATTTTCTGCAATACTAATGGAACCTGGTCATTACAAATTTACAAGCGAAGGGTGTCCAGCTAGACTGTTGTCGACAGGGGCCCCTAAGATACAACCCTCATTTTTCGCGTGGCTGGCAAGAAACTCTTAGCTCGCGTCATATGCAACACTAAGCAGGGATACGTATACGCGCTCAGGGAAGCCAGGGTGGGAGTGATGTACGAACAGAGGGAGAATTCTACAAATCCTCAGAGCCTCGCTCCTATGAAAATTGGCGGCGCGTGCGCCCTCTCTCGTCCAAAGTGCGCCACACTACATTGCTGTTGTATTCGACCACTCTTCCCCCATATTACAGTCTTCGGTTTTCCTGCTGCAGTCATGAATGGTTCCTGCCAGCTATCGCAAGAGTAAGTAGCTACGGCCACTCTCTTGTCGAGTCAATCACCCTTATCATCCCCCTCCACCCACTCCCACACCCACACGTGTCAGACGGACCCCAAGCGCTAAACCCGGCAATTGCTGCACACCTAGTCATATGCGAATTCGAAAGCGACTCGAGGCTGCCATCCCCAAAATTGAGGAAGCGAAAGATGTCTGCGAGGCCCCCTCCGTGTCCTTTGGTGTCTCGTACGGGGACGAACCCATCTTCACCAAGAGCATTGGTTTATGCGACGTGAAAAACGGACAACTTGCTAATGAACATACGTCCTACCATATCGGCTCATGTGCAAAAATCTTTACGTCCGCTGCGATAGGGATACTGGTCGATGAAGGCAAGGTATCATGGCAGGATGCGGTCAAAAAGCATCTCGAAGACTTCGATCCCGTGGAAGACCGAGAAATCGGAAAGAAAGCTACCATCAGAGATGTCTGTAGACATTCGACCGGACTGGCCAATCCAAACGCGGTCTTTATGGCCCCTCATGGCGCTCCAGGTATCAAATCAGAGGAGTATATGAAGATGATTAACGCCCTTCCGACTGCGAATGAGTATGGGCAGCGATTCAATAGCTGGTGGTTCTACAGTAATGCGGCATACGGTCTACTCGGTTTGGTCGTGAAAGCTGCTGCTAAGGTGGACTTTGCTACGTTCCTTCGAACCCGCATATGCAACCCCCTCGGCCTGAAAGATACCCTTCTCACTGAGCATGACGTGACAAATAACAGTAATCTGGCTCATCCATATGTCAAAAGAGATGGTGAATGGCACAAAATAGATAATGGCCTCACCTCTGAGGAGCACAGCCATACACTTCCGTTTCTTGGCATACGCTCTTCCGTGAGTGACATGTTGCTGTTTGGAGGTGCCGTGATGCATCGCTACGCAAAGGAACAGGAGAGCCAATCTGAGAAGAACGAGACGCCTCACTCGGGTGTCTCCTGGTCCGACAGGCTCTGGGGTCTTGGACAGGCTTTGGGATTGATTGCAGGATCCAAAGAAAATCCTCTGAGACAGATTTCTTACATCTGGAAGTCGCATTGGACTCGGCCTTGTAATGATGGCTTCGATAACAAGACAGCCTACATGCTCGGCTGGCTTCGCACCACCATGCCAACAGCTGCTCTGCCGCTTCTCTCATACAACTCCTATCCTACAAAACCGGAGTACATCATCGGAAGAGAATCCACACCTCGAGAGATGTACGGCCACTCTGGATGCACCAATGGCTCTGTCGCCACCATGTATGTCATACCGCAATCTGGCTTTACCGTGGTAGCCTTGAGCAATGCAGCAGATGCTGGTGACGCATCGAACAGCACTGTTCAGATTCTGCTGCAAGCTATTTACGACTTGGGCCCCAAGGTTGATCTCGTCCTCTCGCTCAAAGACTCCAAGGAAATGAAACTGAAGCAGCACGAAGACATGATCAGTGATTGGAAGAGGCACAGAGATGTCGGAAATTACACCTGCCAAGCTGAGGAGCTCATCGGAACCTACCATGGCCTGGGGGCGTCTGTCATCGACATCAAGCAGAGCCACAAGTCCGACTCAGGCCTGGCAGTTGTCTTCGGCCACCAACCCGCATCCATGTGTCAACTGGACAGATTTAATCGAGACTCGCTTAGCTTCCTTCCCATGGATCACAAGGAGATTTTGGAGAGAGCTATGATTGATTGGGACTACTGGACTGTTGGCGTTTTTCGATTTGTTAGGGAGGACGAAACTCAACCGAACAGCCCGATCGTTGGGCTAAGATGGAAATGGGACCAATATGAGGATTCAACACTCTGGGTGAAACAGAC